TCTGTATAATTTCTAAAGTGAGAAGAGTCTTAGCTGTTTGGCGTTTTTAAGTAAAAAAGAAAAATGGAAATGGGAGAATATTTATTTATTTATTTTATTTATTTGTTTATTTATTAAATTTGTATGCAGCCCATCTCCCCCAGAGGGTGACTCTGGGTGACTCACAATTAAAATCAACCAGTAAAAACAGTAAAAATATAACTATCTATATTAAAATTAGCTAAAAAATAATATTATATAAGAGAATATATACATAAAGAGACTATAAAATTCAAGATGATGGGGGAGGGGGTAGAATCAGTTACCTCACAAGCCAAGTTCAACAGTGCAGGGCCCCAGGCCATCTGGCATAGCCAAGATTTCACACTCTTTCTAAAGGCCATGAGAGTGGGGGTGCACCACACGTCAGGTGATAAGTTGTCCAGGGTGGGGACCACGGTTCTCTTCCTAGACCCCACCAGCCAAAATTCCTTGACTGGTGGGGTCTGCAACATGCCCCTACTGCCGGACCGAGTGGAGCGGGCTCCTCAGATAACCTGGTCCTGTGCCATGAAGGGCTTTAAAGGTAATAACCAACACCTTGAATTGGACCCAGAAACAAACTGGCAACCAATGCAGCTCACATAACAGAGGTGTTATATATGCCCCCCTGGGGGCATTGAAAACTGTCCACGCTGCTGCATTTTGTGCCAGCTGTAGCTTCCAGATACTCTTAAGGGGTAGCCCCATGTAGAGCACATTGCAGTAATCTAACCAGGAGGTGACCAGGCCATGAATGACCGTGCAGAGGGCCTCCTGATCCAGGAAGGGGCATAACTGACACACAACATGAAGTTGCAGAAAGGCTCTCCTAGCCACAACTGCCACCTGCTCTTCGAATAGGAGTCATGAGTCTAGGAGGACCCCCAGATTACACACCAGGTCTCTCTGGGATAGTAGAACCCCATCAAGAACCAAGGATGATGAGCTCCTAGATCTTGAGTCTCCCCGTACCCACAGCCACTCCGTCTTAGCAGGGTTCAATTGAAGCCTGTTGTCCCCTATTCAAGTCCCTACAGCCTCCGGCATTGCGAAAGGGTAGCCACAGCATCACTTAGATCACCTGGGATGGAGATACATAGTTGAGTATCATCAGCATACTGATGACACTTCATCCAGTGGTGCCGGATGATCTCACCCAACAGTTTCATAGTGGGAGTAATTAATTGATTTTTCCTGGCTAATGATTGATATAAAGATCTAGTTTTTAAGATTTCATTGAAAATTTCACTAGAAAATGTATGATTCTCAGTAACTAGAAGTCATTGAAATATATAGGTATGTTACATTCTAAGGTCCTATTCGCACATGGCACTTTTTCTCTGTATGGTTTTTATTTTATTTTATTTTTATTTTATTTTGAAGAAGGAAGGAAAAAAATTGCAACTGTTTGCTGCCCGTATCCAGGCAGCTAATAAATTTTTATTTATGTGCAGATGTAGTTAAAATCGCTGAATTGCAACCAATGTTCATCATTATTACAGTGAAATATAAACATACTGTTATTTGTTTCTGGATAGCAAACACATTTAAATTTTATTTAAACATTTTTATATTATGTATTTTCAACGTTACAATATAATGCAATATAAAACTGAAGGTTTGCTTGCATAATGTTGCAAAGCTAATTTATTCTATGGTTTTAAAACCCTTTCATGTTTAATGATATTGATGCAAACCATTTTTGTTTGATGTATAGCATTCAGTGCTAACTTTGAATCTTACAAGCACTCCATACATTTATAAGTAAACCTTTGTTTATCTAGAATTTCATTTCAAGTATGTGTGATCAGTAAAATGAAACAGTTGTGAGAAATCTTTTTTTTTTTTAATTTTTTGGTTGGCAGTAATATTTGTTCAGAAAGGACAGTAAATACACACACACACACACACACACACACTTACATACATACATACATACATACGTATACATTCATTGGATAGACTTACAAAGTTTGACCTTGATATACCGTATTTTTCCATCAATAAGATGCCCCCATGTACAAGATGACCCCCACTTTTCCAACCCAAAATTAAGAAATCAATA